CTCCCCAGTGCTGGGATTACTGGCATATGCCACCATACCTGGTCTCAGTGGCTGGCATGGCATGCCTTGAGCAGAGCTGGCATGATATGAGGTACCAGGATTTGAATCCAGGTCCTTGTGCTCATGAGGCAGGTGCTTAGACTGCTGAGTCATCTCCCCGGCCATATTGTATGTTCTATTTTATTATTTTTAATGTATTTTTAGTACAGGATCTACAGGATCTTACTACACAGATCAGACTCATAGTGATCCTCCTGTTTTCAGCCTCCCAAGTGCTTTCCCTGACCTTTGGGTGGGGCTTGCCCCACAAGCCAGGGATCCAACCCTGGTCCCTGCGAATGACTAAGCAGGCACTTTAGTCTGTTGAGCTATCTGGTTGGTCCTTTTATTGTATATTTTAATATACATTTCATTATATAGTTTATCCTTCAGACATATATGTATGTATTTTATTATAATATGTAACTAAAACTAGCCTAATCAGTAGCAGATAGTTTTGAACAAACTAAATGAGTAGTGGTTCTCCATTTTCCATGCCTGGGTTCAAAACTGAGAGACTCAGAGGCATCCAGGAGACATGGAACAAAATGTCAGCTTTATTCTAGGAGAAGCTGTGGGAGAATCAGCTTAGGATAGTGTGTGGCAGTCATGCAGCCTCTAACTCTGAAATTCAGAAACAGGGACCCACGACTCTTTGTGGGGTCCTTCTACACAAGGGCTCCGGCTGTTGGGGGTGCAGTGGAGTGTGTATGTCCTGGACACGTGACCCAAACAGTGGAAGGGAAGTTGAGCTATGTATCCTGGCTCCTCGTCTCCTAAGTCTCAGTCATCTAGAGGGTTTCTTCTCTTTTAGGGACACATAGGGCTGGAGAGCTCCTCTAATGAAGCCATTTGCAGGGAAAGCAACAACCATGTATGAGTTATGTTTTCCACCTAAAAATGTTGCCCATAGTATGTTTATTGACATATGTATTTTGTAAGTATATAAAATATATACATACATGTGTATATATATTAACATATACTAAACTGTTTTATGGATGAATATACAAAACAAACTGATGATCACTATTTTTACTGAGGATAGACATGGTCAAGTTTCATGTAAGTTGAAAGGAAATCGATGACGTAGTGAGTTGTAGAGCCTAGACCTCTTTCTTTTTTTCCCCCCAGTGCTCAAAGTAGAATCCAGGGCCTCAGACACAGTAGGCAAGTGCTCTATCGTTGATTTACATCCTCAGTCTTTTTATTTTGAGATTATGTCTCTACATTGTCCAAGATGGCTTTGTGATCCTCCTGCTTCAGCCTCTGATGTAGATGCGATTACATGTAACTCCCCCAAGGGGTCTTCTAGATCTTAACGGGAGTTGAACCTGGGCTTTATTAATTTGAGTATGTATGCTTTGGACATTGCCTTTGATTTCTGTATCTCTAAAGCAACTTGTATAAGAGGTAGAAAAAGTTCTACTCCTGGTGGTTACTTTTCAAAGTTTCCCATATGTGGCAATCTTACTTGGGAAAATCCATTCAGACTGCTCCAAGCGAGACCACAGCAAACAGGAAACCCTGACATTCATGAGCAACTCTGAGCAAGCATTTTGCACTCATGATGTTGCTAAGATTAGCAACGAAAATCAAGCTGTAGTAAGGGGTAGTTACAGTCACTATAAAGGGGAAGGAAAAGGCTAAGGTTATGTAGGGGTTGTGTTTCACACAGAATTCAATGTAGAGTTAAAATTTAAAATTTGATGTTTTCCAGAGTATACGACACAAAATGTTGTTCCTGGTAGCTGCTCTGTGGCTTCATGGTCAAGTACACTTGAGGAACCCAAGCAAAAAAAATCCCTTTCATGTAAACAATACATTAAACAATGACATGTATGCATTCATCAGAAGCTATCTTTATACAAGGAATCTTGCAGTGGGGGACTATTTAATCTTACTTAACAGCATCTCTCATCTAATGTGCCATGGAACACTTATTTCAGGACACTTACTGAGATTTGTTCTGGGAAACACTGAGTGGGAAAATTATAGATTAGGTAACTGTTATGGTAATGGGCTTTGGATTTTTTGCTACCCAAGTTCATCCTTTTGGAAGCTATGAATAATACAAAGGTAATTTTCTTAGTCTCTCTCAGATGAATAATGTTTCCATCTATAAAATGGGTATAATAATACTTCCTACTTGGAAGAGCTGTTATGAAGATTAATAGAACATCTGTAAGGCACCCAACTAGTAACATATTCAACAAATGTTAGATCCTTTTTCTTAGTTACAGTTATGTTTTAGAATGAGGTTTTTTTTTTTAAATATATCTTAGGGGTTTACAGGGTGTTCAGAGTCTCACTACTAGATTGAACTCATAGTGATTCTCCTATTTACAGCCTCCCAAGAGCTGGGATTACAGGCGCACACCACCATGCCCAGTCTCAATTGCCATCTCAGCGGGCCCTGGGGGTGGGGCTGGCATGGCAGGCCTGGGAATCAAACCCCTGGTCCCTGATTGCAGGTGCTTTAATCTGCTGAGCTATTTGGCTGGCCCATAGAATGAGGAAATAGTTTTTGAATATGATTTTTAATCTTTTAGAATACCGTATTCTCTCCAGAACTCAGCATTCCAAGGGAAGTACCGGAATCCTCTACTACTTGAATTTCTTCTTAGGACAGGGCCCCCAGAAACCTCCGGACCTTTCACTAGGCCCTGCCTCTTAAGGGTCACTACTTCTTTATTATCAGCACATTGAGAACCAAAACGCCAGCATGTGAACCTTTGGGAAAATGTGGAAATGTACCTTACAGGGCATTTAAAAGGTAAAATTAAACAGCATATGTTAAGTGCATTACAAGACTAGGAAAGAATAAATGTGTAACAAATAATGACACTGGCAATAACAACACAGAACTATTTTTATCATTTAGACTATTCCAGGTAAGGTGTTGAGTCTGTCTTTGCGTCCAAACGCAGTATGCAGATGTCCTCTGACAGTGCCCTGTATGGACGCCAACTCCTGCTGGTACTTCCACCGGGTGAAGCGTGGAGTCTGCATTTTGATAAGCTCCCTGGAAAACTGGCCACTACCACTGATTAGGAAGCACGGGTTACAAGATATTAAGGAATCAGAAGGGAATCAAATGGTAGTACAGAAGGAGAGGATGTTACACACCCTAGACTCAGAGAAGAGTGGTCTCGTGATATGAATCTCGGGCTCAGAGACCCACCACGATGACTTAGAATGGGAAGAGTTGAAGGGATGTATGATGGTGAGACAGTGAGTCATTTGATGTGGCCTTCCTGGGAATGGTGAGTGTGCCAAAAGGAAGTCACGGGCTCCAGAATGTAACTTCAGAAGACGAAGTCTGGATGTTCCTATCCTACCCCATGAGGTTAGGTGGACCTCCACACCCACCCCACACCATTGCCAGTCTAATTCTTATGATTGAGAACAGAGGGGACTTGAACCACTTAATGGTTTCTTCATTCTTGTAAGAGATTACTATATTAGTTATCATTATGCTTAAACTGGACACATATATGCAAACATTGCATTGTCTCTCTCGTGTGAGAAACTGAAAGTGTGAATAACCCAAATGTTGTAAGATATATTGTGAAAGAGGAAGTAATTGTTCAAAAGGAAAGGGGAAGGGGGGGTTAGAAAAGAAAAAAAAGGATAAAATGGAAACAAAGCTTTGTGAATAAGGAGGGGGGAAAGGGGTTGAACAGAGGGAAGGGAAAGGGAAAAAAGAGGAACTAAGATATAGCATATACAGGTACAGAGTCCCTCCGATGAATGTGATCATTATGTATATCTGAATTGCACCAATAAAAAAATTAGAAAAAAGGTTGTCAGCAAGGTCGTTATCTTAACATACTTTCCTCAAAGACAAGAAGTATTATATGTAAAGCTTCCCTTTAAAGCTCATTTAAGGATTCCACTGTTTTCTTTTCTCCCTTAGGAGATGGGGTATTGTCATCCCTGTTTAAAAATCCACCTGGTGCCAGGAAGCTCCCTGTGGGGGTTGACTTTGCCTTTGTGAAAGTAATAAACATCAGACTAAGTCCTCCTTTCAACTTGGATCTGAAATGTGTTCCAAAACCTTGCAGTTAAAAGCTTGGTTCTCAATGCAGCGGTGTTCAGAGATTGGACTCTAACAGGCAACAGGATCGCAAGTTCTCTAACTGCACCAGGATACAGAGGAGTTCAAATCTGATGGCTTATTTGGGGATGCTGCAAATTTAGGTAGGAGCTAGTTGGGGACTGTATCTTGTTGTTTTTTTTTTTTTAAGACATAGTCTCACTGTGTTGTTCAGACTGGCCTTAAACTATGTAGCCCAGGCTGACCTCCCACTCATGGCAATCCTACTGCCTCAGCCTCCTGAGTGCTGGGACTGCAGGTGTGCATTGCACACCTGGCTTTGTATCTTGTTCTGGACCTTTGCCGTTTTCTGCTTGGGGGCTGCCGCAAAGTGTGCCACTTCCCTCCCCCGTTTCTGCCTCCCCACAGGCTTAAAAGCAATACAGCCAGCTGACCCTGAACCAAAACCTCTGATTCCATTAGCCAAAGCAAATCTTTCCTCTTTTTAAGTTGCTTGTTGGGTATTTTGTGATGGGACAGAAAGCTGACACATCCCTCTTCCCAGGACTAGATGGCTTGGGCAGCCCCCCCTCTACTGTTGCCCACCAGCAGGCAACACTGTGCAGACTTTCTAGATCCTTTGAACACGTGAAGTTTCTCCTCTCTTAGGCACAGGGCTGAAATGACAGTGGGAGATAATCAGAAAATAAAAGAAAGCTTTTTGGACCCTGTAGTTCAAAGAATGAAGGTATTCTAGGGCCCAGAGAAGAGAAGGCCTATTCTTGGGCAACACCCAAACATAGCTTCCATGGGTTTTTCTGTGATCACAAAGGCCCCTGCCAAGATACACTGGCATGAAGCTATGCATGCTCTCTTCAGTCAAATAAAATCCAGACACTTCATTTTCACAATGAAGCTTGAAACCAGTCAAGCACTTTGTTTATTAAAAAAAAAAACTCTAATGGTAAAGTATATATTTTCTACATGCTACAGTTAGTTATTCATCCCCCCTCACATTTATATTTATGTTTTGTGTTAAAAGGAATCAAAAGGCGCCACCAGAATCAGTCATTTTTTCAAGAGGGTGCAAGAAGTGCTGAGGTGTCCAGGGGTCCCCAGTGTATCCTATAAGCAGACACAAGCTGATGCAACAACACTATTCAGAGCCCACCGTTTCCCAAGGGATGGAAGAAATGGCCGAGTTACTTGGCAGCTCCCTGAAGCAGAACATGTGGGCTGCAGCTAAGGTGTCATAATCAGAGTTAGTACCACTCTTCCAAGAGGAGAGTTGCTGCTAGTAATTACAGGGCACAAAGGCATAAACAGGTATGCACGGGGGTAAACTCTGGACATCTTTGTTGCATTAGAATTGCTTAGTATTGCTACTATTGCTGTATAGTAGGCCTGCTGGGAGCACCTTCTGTTTTAATGTATCGAGATGTGAAAGCAAAGGCCACTGGCTATGGCACCATGTCTGGTCTTTTCAAGGACAGAGAAGGTTAAGCTCTTTATCTCTGGAGCTCAAAAGGTTTCCTCTGAAGTACAGAACAGACAGGGAGAGGGAGATGGAATGCTGAAATGTGATGAGGGGACTGATCCCTCAGTAAGATAGCACCAGACCAGACGTCACCTTGTCCGGCTGGACGTCAGTGGGTGGCAAGGATGCTCAGAAGGTGGCCCAGCAGGTGAGGAGTAGGGAAGCCATCTTCTCCCCCATTTTAACTCTGCAGCTCTGCTTGGAACCCTCATGGGCTGTCAGTCCAGCTCTTTAGCCAAGTGAGGGGCAATTCATCCAAAGTAGTCCAAGGCAAGTTCATACTTCAATGCTAGCCAATCTCCCACTCACTGAGACCAGAGTCTGCTGACACCAGGTAGTCTTTGGTTTCTGTATGGTATGGCTGTCCATAGTACACACAAAAGTGCTGAAAGAGATGGGAGTGGACAACTAGCAAGGGGACCAACAGTGCCACACAGAGTTCAGGTTGGTAGGTATCCACTGTCACAGTCCAAAGAGAAGAGCAAGGCCTCCCAGAGGGCAGCCTACTCTGACACTTGAGACTTGGTACCATGGAAGGATAGGGAACCAGGCTGTGAATGTTTGTTGTTTTCAGTGTTGGTAATCCAACTCGGAGGGGCTTCAATATTCTACCAATGAGCAACACTCCCAACCCGTTCTTGGTGATGTCAAGTTGCCAGCTATTTGAAGGCAGGAGTAATTCCTGCTTTGTCCTTCAGTACTGGGTACTCGGTCATAAACACTAGACTATCCGTCCAGTCCAAGGCTGTTCCAAAGCCCTGGGCAGATTCGGCACCTGCCCTTTAATGCGGCATGCATGCTTTCCCACTTCCTACCTGGTAATGGAATTTCCAGTGGACTCAGAAAATTGTTAAAGGCCAAGAACTTTACCATAGAAATCAATTCTGTGGGGCAGCCTTGTGGCAGAGGGTTAAAATGACTATTGAAAGCAAAGAATGAGCTCTAGAATTTCCTAGAGGGTAGTGACATTAAAGGTGGTTTAATCTGGAACTCAGCTCTTTCCAAGTCTCACCCTGAGACAATGACATATGCCTACCAAATGGCAAGGGATGATTCTAAGGCAAAATTTGAGCAAAAGCCTATTTTATCAAGTGCTGGTCCTGACATTCAGATATCCTAAGTATCTGGTGGCTCTACAACATGCTGTACATTTGCCTGCAGATGGAAGATAAAGTAGTCATCACAAGGCAGTGAGCAGGGGTGAGCACAGAAAGGCCACCTCCACCTCCGGCCACTCTTTCAGCTGGCTTTGGCCTGTGACCTACTGAAAAGTCTGACCAAGGGGTAGAGCATGACACCTAAATGTGACACTTCATGCCCTGCAATCCTATGCACATTTCACTGCTGATAGTGGCAGAAAATAATGGACACACGGGAGTCACCTGGATTTGGGTCCCAGTGTGGCTACTACCTGGATAAAAGTGGGTATGTGATTTCCCTTACTGCATCTCAATTTCTTATTACACATCAGGTGTAAAGCTACTTACCCTAGAAGGTTGTCATGGGGATGAAAGAGGGAGCATGTCTAAGTACCTGTGACCTGCCCGTTGCTTGATATGGACCTTGTTACAATGACTCAGGACCTCTTCCATGGCCCTGACTCCAGGGAGTTTTCTTATGCTCTAGCAATCACTCCTAAACTAGTAGCCATGGTTCAGGATGTTGTAAACTTAAGTCCCTAGGCAACGACAGCTAGGAGAGTCTTTGGCCATTGAGACAGAGTGCTTCTAGTTGCCTGCCCTAAGGTCATCAGTGTGACTGCAGCAAAGAACAGTGAGCAGGAGGAATGTAGCTTCTGCATCTACACTTCACATTAGCATAGTAATGGTAGTGGAAAAATCAAATTCTTTTTCCACTTGCAGGGAAACATCTGTCCACAGGAAGTCAGAGAAGGTTCACTCCCACTTGGCTGACCTGGCAGAAGGAGGTGAGGTGAAAGATGTGCCTTCAGCAGTGCAGGCAGACACAACTCACAGCTCGTGACACCAGGGATGGAGCTCTCGCACTCTGGTCTACCCAGTACCACCATATAGTAGGTGTGCACACAATACTTAAAAGTCACTGAAAGCCAAAATCAAATAGAACACACATACAACCCAAGTAGCTTTGTCCCTTAGAAGTTAATCAAACCCTGCAAAACAGCTTCACAAAGGATGTTTATGCCTAAGTGGCCAAAAATTGATGAAAATCATGCTATGGGGCCTCTTTCCAAGTATGGGGTCTTGAAGAGGTGGGTCCCTCTCTCCCAGGTTCCTTTTGCCCAATGCCACTTTTCTCCAGGGTCCTGGGCATGGGTCAAGGTACAAGAAGCACCTCAGGCTTGACCCAAACTCAGGGGAGTAGGCCTTACAGGCTGAGAAAGAAGGAAGGTACTCAAGTTACTGCAGTGGGCCAGAGGAACCTCCTGGGCAAGCAGCCAGTCTGTGGCCTGTGGTAGGGACTAGGGGCTGGGTGTGCACCAGAGGGCTTTTTAGTCTTTGGCACTGCAGGTAGATGCAAGCCACCCCAGGCAAGCTGGCTTTGTGGTGCCAAAAGCATTGTAGCAGATGAGCACTGTGAATGGGAGATCCCTGAGGCAGGCAGGACAGAGTGGGACTGGATTCCCTCCTCTTCTGCTGGGTCAGTGGGATGAAGGGCTTCTAATCTCATCTCCTGGCAGCTAATTCACAGGTGCGAACTTTGGGCTAAGAGCTAGAACCTTGAGTCCTGATTCTAGCTCTCTATATTTCCCTTAAGCGTATCTGCCAAAAGGGGGAAAGGGCTGCTGCAGGATGCTCTCAGGGAGAGCACACACAGAGACAACTCACCTAGATACCTAGAAAGGAGCACAAGGCCCCAGCAGGGAGGTACAGGAGTCTGCTTGGCTCCCTTGGTTGGCCAACTCCTTACTGGGATACTGCTTGCTATGTTTAGTTTAGTAGTGACCCACTTTTGCTGGTCCTTGAGCCAACATAGCTTTGCACTATCTCCTAAGGGACACCAGCATGGGGACAGGGAACAACTTCCAGGATCCTGGGACTTCCCCTGCCCTGGAGAAGCAGTTGTTGAGGCTCCGAAGGCAGACCTCAATATATGCCACAGGGAAGGTGGTATGGGAGCAGCCCCAGTGCCCCCTTGTCCACCCAGGGAAGCTACACAGCCATCTGCTCCTGGGACCCAGTCAGCTTCCAACACCGCCTTGAGAGTTTGCCTCTTACAGGGGGAAGAGCACAGACATTCAGATCCTTTTTCCTCTTCTTCCCAGCTAGCGTGTCCTTCGGTGCATGGAGCTGAGTTCCCTCACTGGTAACATGGGTACAATATTAAAAGGGAGGGAGATCGTGAAGGTTAAAACACAAATGCAAACTGCCAAATATGCTGTTTGGCATCTACTAACTACGCAGTCAAGGGACGTTCACGAGGGATGCGCTTTGTCCAAACAGACTTGGAGACTTTTGGTCTAGGTAGACAAGAGGGAAATGGTCCAAATGGGAGTAGGAATTCTGATCTAGCAGACTAGAGGGACTGGAGCCTGCATCATGGAAATGTCGTATGCTTGGGGCTGGAGCCACCCCTTCAGAGCAGTCAGAGTCTCAAGGCAGAAGATGGCAGGCAGGACAGCCAAGTGGACCTCCAGCCCCACTCTTGGGGAGCCGCATTCAGCTGAGCCTCAGAAGCCAGAGGACCCAAGGTCTTGGAAAGAGGACACTTTCCAGGGGACTGGCAAGAGCTGACTTGCACAGGACGCTGTTCTTCAACAGTGAAAAAAGTCACTAGCTTTTAGATCCATGAAGGAGTTACAGCAAGTTGTTGGGGACTGGCAGGGCTGCTGCTTACCATGCCTTGTCTGAGCAGTGACAGACCCTGTCTGGAGCTGCTCCAGGAGGCAGGTCTAAATCTGGAGGCCTGGAAGTGTCACTGTCCTGCTGCTGGGTGGCAGTGCCACTGGCCAGGAGGAGTTCTCTTAAGGCAGGGATACTGAGGTGGATTTCTATCCAGCAAGGGAGGTGGTTTTGGAGCTCTAGGAATGCTTTGATGGGAGGCGCCAGCCCCAGAGCTGCTGACATTGCAGCCATTCACTTTCTACCCAGGCAGGGAAGAAAGCAGCACTCCAGTAGCTTCCTTCTTTGAAACTGCATGGAGACTGATAAATTAGAATACACATTAAATACACGGGGAAAGCCAGCAGGGACCAGCAGGACTTCCTGTCAGGGAGGCAGGAAGCTATGGCTTCTTCCTGAGATAGTTGGAAGGAATCCAGCCTTCCCAGGAAGGGGCCCCACTAACGACTTGGCAGAACCACCAGCCGCTGCTGTTCTTTTCCCGGACTTCAAATACTGTCCCTTCCTGGAAGCTGCTGGTATCTTCATCCCCTTCAAAATTGGCTACAGCCACATACAGAGAGTCCTTCGGGCCATCGGCACTGGGGAAGGAGGCCGCGGCTGCTTTCTCCTTGTTCTCTCCCATCTTGCCAGCTGCCCACGGCCCCAGCCCACCTTTGCCTCGCATGTCATCTTGGCCCCCAGAAGAACTGGAGAGAAAAGGTTTGGCTTTGGGAGGGACAAGTAGGGTACGGCCAGGAGCAGGGACCACCCTGCTTTCACTGGCTTCATATGGTGGACCTCTGACTTCTGGGAGGGGCTTGGATGAAGATGAGCTTTTCTTAGGGGGTGGTGGTCTTCGGGGTGGGACCACAGGTCTCTGCTGGGTAGGGTCTTGGAGAGGGACGGGCACATTTTTAGGTCCAGCCTCTGTGGCCTTGGTTGGTCTTGGAGGGGGCCTACAGGTTGTCTCCTTTGGGCCAAACCCGTCCTGCCTGCCAGCCCTGTCCTGGGCCCAGCTAGGCCCCTCCCCTGGGAGGAAACTTCGGCTAAAGGCCATGTCTTGGCCCCCAGCAGCCTGGTGGCTCTCCCCATCCAGCAAGGATTTCTCCTGGGACTTGGCAGGTCTAAGCTTACTCCTGAGGTGACAGATGTCCACTTGGTCTTCACCCTGAGATGGCTCTGTCCGGGGAGATGGAGCTGGTTTTGGCCTAACATGAGGTTTAGACTTCAAGAATGGATTCTGGGGAATGGCATCTGGCTTGTCCTCTGGAGGTTCAGTTTTAGATTTGGAGATGGGCCGGAGATTGGGCTTCTTCACTTCCTTGGCCGATACCTTGTGGCCATACTCCAGCCCCATGTCGTTTTTGAGTTGGAACAATTTGCTTTTGTCAGGTCTGGGCTCAGGTCTCCTGCTGTCCCGGGCTGGGGGTGCATGCTTGGTTGGAATCATTGGCAAAATCATACCAGGAGGCTTGGCTGGAGAGCCCCGGATCTGCTCTATCCTCTGTCGCTCTCTCTCCAGCAGCTCTCCTTCCGACTTGATGATGGATTCTTTCCTTGGAGGGAGGCTGGGCTTCTCTTCCAGGTCAGGGTCTGAGATCTCCTCGTAGCCTGCTGATGCTGACATATCTGAGGATGCCTTTCTCTGGGCCTCCTTCCCACCCTTCCAGTCTTTGGACCATGACATCCCTGAGTCCATGGCACCATGTGGTGTGTTGGGCAAGGGCCGGGAGGGACCCACAGTCTCATTGCCTGTGCTGTTTTCCATTGCTGCTGAATCTCTGAGCCGGAGCTGGGTCACCTCGTGGGGCAGGGGAGCCAGGAAGTTGGGTCTTGAGGCATTGCTGGTCTTCTTGTACTTATCAATGAAGGTTGCTGGAGCCCACCCTTCCTTATCATCAATCTGAATGTACCACCAGCCACTCAAGTTCTTCTCAATCACCTGGGAGAAGGACAGAGGAAAACACTTAGTAGGATTGGTGTCAGGACCAGCAGATCAGAAAGGTCTAGAACTTACATGCAACAGGAACACTAGGGGCTGTGCCTCTGTACTCTGCAGTCTTCTACAAGGTCACAGTGGACTATCTTGGGGGCACTATTGCATATCACAACATCTTACATGGTTGCAAGTGCCTGTCCAATTTTATCTAAGTTTTAAAAGATAGGGTCTTACTAAACCACCAAGATGGCTCAAACTCTTGGGTTCATGCAATCCTTTTGCCTCAGCCTCCTGAGAAACTGGGACTACAGCTGTGTGCCACTGCTCCTGGTGCATTCTTACCCCATTTAGGATTCTTCCAGCAGTTGTCCCTTGAGATACAGACTTAGGTATAGCTAGCTAATTTGACAAGTGGCCCTGGGAAATTCAAGCAAGGAAGTGGAAGAAGTGAGAAGAGAGACCAATTATGAGCAAGCTATTGCTCTGGGTCTGCTGGGGTTGAAACTTTCAAGCATGCTTTAGAAGACCACAGAGACAGAGTCTCAGGAGTCTTTCCCAGGCAGGGCATTTAACTACCAATGGCCAGCAGCACCCTATCAGGGCACTAACCCTTTCCCTGCTGGGAAGTAGGCATGATCAACCTTCAGGAACCTGTGTGCAGCTTGCAGTCACCTCAGACAGACTGGGGCACTGGCACCATCTCTTGTAATTCTAAAGAAAGACAAGGCAAAAGCTATGGAGAGCCAACATGACCCTCGGTCCTGGCAGCTTTGGTTGAGCACCAGATGAAGTAGCTGGCTTGTGAAACGTGTTTATAGAGACCATAACATGTGAAACGTGTCTATTTAAACATGGGAATCACGTTTAGCTCAATGTTTACAAATAGGGGACCTGAGGCTGGTTGAGTGGAACAGATTTTCATCTCTTATTTCCACTCACCTTCCAGGATCCACTCCCACTCAATGGCTGGAACTACCCATTGTATCAAAATCTTGCTTCATGTCTCTTTTCAGCCCAGTATGATATGGCTGTATCCATGGGGTGAAAGGAGCACCCCATGGATATATGTTAGAGACTGAGCAATGTCCCCTCCAAATTGACATACAGAAGTGTTAGCCCCCAGTACTTCCAAATGTCACTGTATTTGAATAGGGCCTTTAAAGAGGCAGTAAAGTTAAAAGGGGTCATAATGGTAGACTCTAATCCAGTATGACAGGTATCTTTATAAAAAGAGATGTGGTCAAGATGAAGACACAACAAGAAGGGCTATCTCAAAGAAGAATCCTCAGGAGAAACCAAACCTAGGAGTCCAGAATGGCCTTGAACTCACTCAATCCTCCTGCCTCAGCCTACCAAGTGCTGGGATTATAGGCATGTGCCACCATACTCAGCCCAATACCTTGATCTTGAACTTCCAGCCTCCAGAATTTTGAGAAAATAAATCACTGTTGTTTAATTCACCCCAGCTATGCTGTTTTGTTACGGCAGCTGCAGCAAACAAATACGCTGCATTTCTCCTGCAGCTTCTGTACGCTGATCTGATTCATATTTATAACTTTCCTGTGAGATAGGGATTGTTGTCCTGTTTTATATGCTGCTCTCAGGACAGCTGAGGAACTGGCAGAGTCATGCAGGAAGTTAGTGGTGGAGGAGAGAAGCCAAGGTAGGCAGGTGGTCTTCAGCACTGCCAACCCTACTGCTTGTGTGCAAGACTTGCTTGGGGCAGAGCCATGTCTGCGGTGAGGCCTGCTGAAGGGGGATGCAGGCACAGTCTGCTGCTCGGGTACTCTGTGGCCTGGCTGGTAAAGGACTGCCACCACAGGTGCTGCAGCAGGATGCTGGGCTCCAGCGTTCCCCAAGCGCTGCCTCAATGGCCCTGGGTAAGCTACATGTTTCAGATTGCAACCACAGAAGTGGGTGAGGATAAGAACACATACTTGCAAGATTTCACTGATGATTACAAGAGCTAATGCATGCAGCAGCATTTGGAAAATACGATCTAGTATTAAACCCAGGTGGAGGTCACTGAGAAAAGCAGGATGTGCTGGACTGGCAGCACAGGGAGATCACTATCTCCTAATACTAGGCAGCTCTGCTAGCAAAGGTGACACAGGACACAGTCATCACCAGCACATTTACAAATTCAAAGTTGTGTACACGAAGGAATGAAAACAGGACAATAATCAGTGTAAGTTTATCAATGAGGATTTGTTAAACTTACATTCAATGCAAAGGACTGTGGGCAAAGCTCTGGGCATTTGTGCTCTTAATCATGTCTTGTGGGAGTTCTATGTACTAGAGAGGCCAAGAACTACAGTAAATAAAAGCAAATGCAAGACTACAAGACTGAGGGATTAAAAAAAAAAGAGCCTTGGCTTTATTTTTATTTATTTATTTATTTATTTTTTTAAAGAGCCTTGGCTTTAAAACGATAGAGACCTGAGTTTGATTCTCAGCTCCACTACTTGTTAGCTCTGTAACCCTGGGCAACTACCAAAACAATTTGGTCCACAAACAGAAGCAGTGGCAAAATTTTGTTTTTGTTTGCACTGGGTGACAAGCACAACCATGGCCATCTTCCCTACACATACACAAACATGGCAATCTTTTCCAAAATCATAGAACAAATTAAGTTCATGAACCGAGGCACCACTGTAATTTCCCCTTTCCACCTTTCTGAGTCTCAAGTACCTCATCTATCACATAGATGATATTGATAGATGAGCTAGTGATATTGAGCTCTCAGGATTTCTGGGAAGGTCAGTTATCAGTTAGCTGAGGACCTGGCATAGAAGAGGTACCTACATCATCAACATCACCACTGCCACCACCACTGTCATCTTCTAAAAACATGTCTTAAAGGTAAGTAGTCCAGACAAGAAACTATAAGGTGTGCCTGGTGGCCTGACGGCCAGGAAGCTGTAGTTCATTTACAAGTTCTTAAGATGTCACAATGAACCAGGAAGGGAAAGCTGAGAACGGGAAAGCAGAGCATATGGAACTGATTAAGAGAAAGGAACACATGATTAAGCCAAAAACTTCAGTTGGCAACTATTTGTTTCATTAAGTCTCTCCAGGCCCTACTGGCAGAGCCTCTGCTGACATTATGGGACAGTAAAGCAAAGAAAGTAAAGAAAATGTAAAGAAAAGAAAGTCAGGTATGTGAGGTTTTCACTGGATCAGCTTTAGCAAGAACTTGAGAGGAAGGCCAGAAAGAAGCAAGGGGAATGGTTCCACGTGAAGAGTCCGTGGGCCCAGAGGGGGCCTCCTTAACACCTCCAGAAAATGCCAGGGACTCCTGCAGTCCCTGTGGCCTACTGTGTCTGCTCCCACTTCAGCACACTGTCCACGACATCCTGAGGGGCCAGGGAAGACTTCTGAACATTCTGAGCCAGGAAATGGCAGTACTAATTGGCAAGTGTTCAGTTTGCCAGCAGGCTCAAACAATGATGTCTATTAGCAGAAGCTGCTGGAAACTCACTGTCAAAGGTTGTTTTGTTTCTGTAAGGGATAGAATCTGAGCCTTTGTAATGTTAAACAAGGGCTCTACCACTGAACTACACCCCCAAGGCCCTCAAGGCGGCAAATGTTTCTCCCCAGTATTAGGAATTGAACCCAGGGAGCACTGAGCTACATTACTAGGTCTTTTTATTATTTTGTGATAGGGTCACACTAAGTTGCTTAGGCTCATCTCAAACTTGTGATCTTTCTGCCTCAGCTTCCTGAGTAGCTGGTATTATACGTGTGTGCTACTGTGCCTGGCTAAGGCTGTGACTTAATTAAGAAGCTTTTATGTTTCCAGCTCTTTGGGCAGAAGCCCCTTTATAACACGCAGTTTAGACTTCTGGTTTAAGACTGGAGACTGAGCAAACAGCAGTATTCTCTTTCTGCAACAACTCTAGGGAGAGAAAGAAGTGAATCAAAGCCAACCTCAGGAGAAGGAAGAATAGAAGCTGGCAGGCCAGGAATTGTGAGGAATCACACCATTTCTGGTAGAGGTGCTGCAGCCCAGAACTACCTGCTGTGAGGAGTTTTTTTTTTTTTTTTTTTGTGAGGAGTTTTCATGCAAAAGATGGGAGACTCCAGGATGCTGGAGCTTAGTGAAGGAGTGGGCAGGGGCAACAGACAGGTGAGTAACTGGTTAACAGCAGAAGCAGCAGGATGGCGGACCCTCTCTTTACCCACTCTGGTAAGGCAGCCAAGTGGAGTAGGGCACTGCTTACTGGTAGAAACAATTAATTTGCAGCGCTGGGTTACAGACATATGACACTACTCCGTGGCTGGCTCAGAAGTGCTGCAACTGGTACTGAAGCCAAAGCGAGCTGACCAATTCCTCAGGTATACTTCCAGGGTCTGTCAGACTACCTGAAGCCTTATCCTGTACCACGGAAAAACTGAAATAAGTACCAACAGCATCACAAAGAACCAGCAACTGAGGAAAGAGAAATAATAAATAATAGGTCTATGAGTTAAGAAACATGCTATCCTTAGGGAAATACTAGGGGACATCAAGTTCATGAAAGAAAAAGCGAAACAAGAACAAGTAACTATGGAAAAGAGTAAAAAAAAAGAGTTCTTGGAAATATAAATTGTAACCGATGAAATAAAATAAGCAACAGACTAAACAGCTGAAAAACAAACTAATGAACTCCAAGAGCACAATGTTTCAAGAAGGTAGCACAAAGGCCAGGTGCAATGCACTCTGGAAGGCTGAGGCACAAGAATGCAAAGTTTAAGTCCAGTGGGAACCCGAGAGAGACTTAGTGAGCCTCTGCCTCAAAATAAAAAATAAAAAGGCAGGGGATTGTAGCTCAGCTGAGCGGTAAAGATCCTGAGTTCAATTCCCACTACAAAGCAAGCAAACAAACACACAGCCCAAAAAGATGAAGACAGATAATACCAGAATAGTTAAACAAAGTTAGTAGACATTGGCGAGTAGAGCCAGGAGTTCTTCTTTCAATTTAATTATAGTTCCAGAAGGAAAATCCAAGAAGAGTAAAGAG